CTTTCTTTCTTTCTTTCTTTCTTTCTTTCTTTCTTTCTTTCCTTTTGGATACAGGGTCTCTCCACTTAGCGCTGGCTGTCCAGGAGTTCACCATGTAGACCAGGCTGGCCTCAAACTCTTACTCCTGAGTGCTCTTCAACTATTTTAAGGCACTCGGTTTGTAACACTTTGATATAGCAGGCCTAGGAAACAGAATCTTTCCAAATTAATACCAGGTTTGCAACTTTTAAGGGTTTCCCCTTTAGTCTTTGTATAAGAATATTAACAACATAAAAGAAACCTCAGCATGAAAGTCCTGACCTGCTGTGATGGTCAATATTGTTGACTCGATACTATCTAGATTTACTTAAGAGACAAGCCTGCCGGCAGGCCTGTAAGGTTATCTAGATTAGATTAGTTAAGGTGAGAATAAATTAAGGTAGGAATAAACTGGGCTGCCATCCTAGACTAAATAAAAAGGCAGCCGGATTCCAGCATTTGTAGCTCTCTGCAGATGAAATCCCAGCAGGCACTTTCAGTCAAGTCTCTTCTTTATGATAGGCTTCTAGTGAGTAGAGACAAACCCTTCTGTCCTTCAACGGTTTTTGTCAGGCTATTTTATCACAGCAACAAGACAACTAATACAGCTGCTTAAATCAAACGAACCAAAAATCACCTTTGGGGTTAACTTTTGTTGTCTAGGCCTGTCATCTCCAAATCTGAACGGTGCTCAGGCGCTGCACTTAGCCACAGTCCACGTCCTAACACTACAGCCTGGGGGACCCTCCTTAGAGATGACAGATTTGCCTTAGGGGCTCCCTGTGCTCTCAGCACTTGGGACCTACATGGCAGCTTTTCTCCAGTGCCTGTGATAACAGTTTCCAGGGTGTGACGCTCCTACACGGAAGATGCTCCAAGTGGACTTAAAGGACAAGGCTGGACCTCCTCCCCGAACACCCCACGGAAAGCCACGGGAGAGGAGGGTTGGCAGGGTTGGTGGAGGGGCTCCATCTTGGCGGAGCCCCAAGGGCCACGTCGCCACGGGCTGGGGGGCGGGGCCCGCGGGTCACGTGCCGGGCCTCCCGCGCACAGCTGGAGGCGGTGCTCGTCCTCCCCACGAGCCGTGGAGCCCGTGGCGCGCGGGGCATTGTGGGCCGAGGGGCGGGGGTTGGGAAGATGGCGGCTCCCAGCCTCCTTAACTGGAGGCGGGTTTCCTCCTTCACCGGGCCGGTGCCCCGCGCCCGGCACGGACACCGAGCCGTGGCCATCCGGGAACTGATGATCATCTTCGGCGGGGGCAACGAGGGCATCGCGGACGAGCTGCACGTTTATAACACCGGTAGGCAGCGGCTCGGCGACCCCGCCTCGGGACCGCGGAGGGGGAGGGGAGGCGCAGCGGACGCGGGCCTGACAGCTGTCACCGCCTGGTCGCCGCTTCCCCAGCCCCGCAGGTGGCGGGGGAAGATCGGCTGGGTCGGCAGCCCGAGCTCATAACGTGCTGGAGGAGGGCTCGGTGTTCCCGGTTCCGCGGGCTGGACGCGACTCCGCCGGTAGACATCGAGACACCCCGGCCCATCCCTCCCCGCGGACCCGAGACGGCGGGTTCCACGGGCTGGGCCGCTCCCCCAGGGCTGCTCACTTAAGGAGCGGAGATCCCGCCAGTGTCAAGAACAAAACCCACCCCAAGCCGGGCCTCGGCGGTCTTTGCCTTCCCCCGCACCCCCTTCTCGGGACATAGAGAATCGAGGGGCGGGAGACTCTTCTGGCTCTTCAGCTTCGGTATATTTACTACCGGGCGGAAGCCGGCAAGACTTTCTCTAAACTGGCGAGGGAGGGAGTTGTGGGTGAACCCGGACTGGTCCCTGCTTAGCCGATGTATGTGTATGTATATGTATATGCTCTGCTCTTCCGGACTGGTCCTAGCAAAGAGGACTGTCATAGCTTAGGCGCCGCTGCACAGCTCGAAGTGTCGCTTGTCTGGAGGCAGGCTTTGACCTCCGAGCTGGTGGAAAGTTTTATTTTCTCCACTTACAAGTAGTCTTCTAGCAATCATAGTTAACTAGTGAAACAAGTTACTGAAGTTGGCGTCGATATAGTTCACAACTTACAACTTTGATGAAGCAGTTTGATCACAGTAGTCCTCTAAAAGCTAAAAACAAGAGAAATGTTGATAGTTTTGACCCTTCCCAGTACTCCAACAGAAAAAGTTTTAAAGATGTTTAATTTGACATAGTGTAAATAATGTGGGCTTAGAAGAAATTGGGTGTTTGGGATATTGCTTTGCGAGTTGTTCAAAATGAGCATTAAAGTTACCAAGTCTTTCCAAATCTCAGTGTTTTCCACTTTTATAATGGGGGTAACATTCACCAGGATTTTTCTAAGAATTAAATGATTCAGATCAGGTTTTCTTTCTTTCTTTTTCAATTCAGGGTTCCTCTGTGTAGCCCTGGCTGTCCTAGGGCTAGCTCTGTAGTCCAGACTGGCCTCAAACTCACAGAGATCAGCCCATCTGCCTCCCAAGTGCTGTGCTAGGCTTAAAGGCATGTGCCACCATTGCCCGCCCCAGATCTGGGTTTTCAACAGCAGCATTATTGACATTTTGGGACTGGTGATTTTTGGCTGTGGATGCTACCTTGTATGTTGTAAGATGCATGCTGGCATCCTCAGGCTAAACCCATGGTTTAGTAGTCACACCTCCTTCCCAATTGTGACAACTAAAGATGATGTTGGACATTGTAAAATCAGTATACTTGGGGGAGCAAAAGAATCCCCAGTTGAGAACTGTTGGAATAAAGGATGGATATGTATGTATTTATTATGTGTGTGTGTATATACACACACATACGCTTTGATCATATGTATAGATCCTCTGGGTGATATATTTATCAAACTCATGGAGTGTGGTAACTTATTTGTTATAACTGATTTTATTTTTTTCAACTAGTTACAAATCAGTGGTTCCTCCCAGCTGTTAGAGGAGACATCCCTCCAGGCTGTGCAGCCCATGGATTTGTCTGTGATGGGACTAGAATCCTAGTGTTTGGGGGAATGGTTGAATATGGAAGATACAGCAACGAGTTATACGAGTTACAAGTAAGTGTATCTCACGTTTATTGTTTCAGTTTGAAGTTAATGAAGTTGTCATAGTTTTTAAAGAGATTACAAATATTTTATCAGTACAGGTACAGTAACATGCTTCACATGTTATAACTTCAATGACAAGTCAAAATACCTGATGTCCTATGTGTGCTATGCCGTTTATGGCATAAAGTTGTCTGGCCTTTAGCTGGACTTTGTTACATGTTTAGGCTTTTGTGTCTGGCGAGTTGTCCTGAAACCTACAACACAAGCACCTCCCAACAGATTGCCGGGCCTTGCCCCTAGGCGTTTGGAATCAGTATTGTCTGTGGTGGCACCTGGACATGTGTGTTTCTGCCACCTAGAACTGTGCTTTGAAAACCAGGTTTGAAAGGAATGGTTTCGTCTAACAGTGGGAACTCTCCTCCTCCTCCGAAGTCATGCAGAGAGCAGTTACAGTTTGACATAGGCTTGCTAAGTTTGACTTGCATTTAAGCCAGTCAGTCCTTGTTGACTATTGTGGCTTTGTTCCAGGCACCATCCATGATCATGAGGGCATTCTACCACTTGGCATCTATGAATGGGTTGTACTTATTTCCAAGCAAGCAACCATTTCAGATAGTTTAAAATAGAGAAGATTCTCCTGACCAAAAGAATACATTTTGAAGTTTGGTTTGTTAAATGAGTTTTGTTTACGTAAAGGTTATTTAGCATTTCATGGTTTATCTAATTTCTAAAAGTAAGCATTTATGAATTACATCTACTCTTAAAGTTCTACATACAAATATTTAAATTCTTTTCACTTGGAAAAAATTAGAAATGATAGTACTACTTTTTTTCTTCTTCTTATTATAAGCTTAGAGAAGATTTTCATGAATGTCTGTTAATACATACATATACACACATATACCTACAGATATACCTATAGCTTTGTGAGACAAATTTCACGTAGTCCAGGCTGCCCTTAAATTCACTCAGTAGCCAAGATTAGCTTTCAACTCGTGATCCTTTTGCCTTACAAATTCTGGGATTACCATAGCCTTACCTGGACATACATTTTACTCTCAGAAGTTAGCTGCTTCTCTGAGTATGATGCACACCACCTTTAATCCCAGCACTTGGGAGGCAGAGATAGGCAGCTATCTTAAGTTAGTGACCTGGTTTACACTGTGAGTTCCAGGACAGCAAGGGCTACCTAGTGAGACCTTGTCTCAACAAACAAATCAGAAGGTAGCCACTTACTTGTCCCCAGAGGAGCTTATTGGATCTTCTGATGAGATTCAGATGTATTAGTGTGGTGTTTCATTGTTGAAAGTATAGAAATAGAAATGTTTCCTGTTTTTATATGAGTGTGTTCTTTTTTAGGCAAGTCGTTGGTTATGGAAAAAAGTGAGACCCCAGCCCCCCCCTTCTGGTTTACCTCCTTGTCCTCGGCTTGGACATAGCTTCTCTTTGTATGGTAACAAATGCTATTTGTTTGGAGGTTTGGCAAATGAAAGTGAAGATTCAAATAATAACGTCCCCAGGTACGCTCTCTTGTAGACCAAGTGCTCGTTTTATAATCTTTAGTTATTGTAAGGCTTAAGTTTAGACTTTATATTTAAAACTAACAATAAACACTTTTTTAAATGTATTTATGCTTTTTAGTCCCTAGAGAATAATTTTCAAACTTTTTCTAATCATAAATAATTTTATTAAATTGATACTTGTATAATTGTTTATGCCAGTCTCTTTGTACGTCTTGAGCTATAACTCACATTAAGTGGGTTACACACAATACCAAAACAACAACACGGTCACTTTAAAACTGGTTTTGTCTGAAAACTTGGTGTAAAATGTGGTTATTAAATGAAAGCCATTGTTCTCCTATTTCATACATTCTGTTAGGCCATATTACACCTGGACATACTGTCCTCCTTTTTCAAAGACAGTGACTCACTGTCTCTTTTCTTTTGTCTTGCTTTTTATTTTTATTTTACTTTTTCTGTTTTTAACTTTCTTTTACTTCTTTTTTTAACATGCTCTTTATTTTTATTTTTTCTCTGTGTACACCAGGCTGGCCTAGAACTCAGAGATCCACCTACCTCTGCTTCCTAAGAGCTGAGATTAAAGGTATTCGCCACCACCACTTTATTTATTAGGTTTTTCCAGACAGGGTTTCTCTGTGTAACAGAGTCCTGGCTATCCTGGACTCGTTGTAGATCAGAACGCATAGATCCTCCTGCTGGAACTAAAGGCATGCAGCACTCACAAAGCCAAACTTTTTACTTTTCAAACCTAGCTGAATTCCTAGAATTGTCTGGATGGCATTATAAGTGGGTTTGATTTCTTAATTTCATGTTTGTATTATTTATTCCTAGAATAGAGCATACAATCTACTGTGTATAGTGACTTTCTGTCTATAACCTAGATGAAATAATTTCTTTTTAATTATTTTCAAGGATTAAAATTCTTTTTGGACTCTATAAGCATTCTTTAAATAAGAAAACATTTTCTTTTATATGTTACAATTTTTTTTTCTGTTTTTTACTTGTTTGTTTTTTTTTGAGACAGGGTTTCTCTGTTTGGCCTTTATAGCCTTGGCTGTCCTGGAACTTACTCTGTAGGCCAGGCTAGCCTCTAACTCACAAGAGATCCCCCTGTCTCCGCCTCTGGAGCACTGGGATTGGAGGAGGTCACCACCACTGCCGTCTCCTTTATACCTATATATTATAAATATTTTCCTATGTCTTTGCTTTTTACACTTTTTAAACAAGTTTGTTTTTCTATGTTTGACAGCATTTCCTTTTACTGTTTTGTGATTCTATATCTTGTGTAAGAAGACAAATTATAAAGAATAATATTTCTATAATTTCTTCTAGTACATTCATTTTGTTTTTACATTAGTGTTTTTGTAATCATTTTTGTGAGTACTGCAAGGGTTTCTACTCTTTTTCCTAGTTCAGTTCTAGTAACTCCAATACTGAAGTAAGCATCTCTTATCATCTTTTTAAAAAATAGGACCTGATATAGCCCAGGCTAGCCTCGAACTTGGTGTGTAGCTAAGGATACCCTTGAATTTTATATCCTCTTGCTTCTGTCTCCTAAGTGCTGGGATTACAGTTGTATGTAACCACACTGGGTTTGTGCAGTGCGAGGACTTGAACCCAGGCATCATTCTACCAACTGTTCAGTCTAGGAAAGCATCCTACCAACTGAGCTATAGCTCCCCCCTGGTGGATTGTGGTTCTTAAATAACTGGGTCTTTTCTAAGATTTCTGGATTTACAAGCTAACTTTGTGAGCCAAACTCTCTTGTTTATTTCTTTTTTTTTTTTTTTTTTTTTTTTTGGTAGTAAAGTTTTATTGAAATACAGTCATGCTCTCATTCATTTAATTATGGGTTTTGATCACTTTTATGTTAAAACAGAAGTTCAGTTCTTCTGTTCAGTCCCTAGCACTGCCAAAATACCACTCCCCCCAAAAATCCGTAGCAGAGTTGAATAGACTTTAAGGCCCCCAAAGTCTAAAATGTTTATTATCTGTCTCTTTACAGAGAATGTTGGCTTACTTCTCCATTTAGGTTTAATTCTGTTTCATTGATATATTTCCCTTTCTGTCACTTATTATGGCATTTGCTGTCAGTTCCTGCCATATGTCTTTGATAAGAATAAAGGCTTTTTTAAAATTTACAGTTTTTATTTAGTTTTATTTCTCTCCCCTTTAAAAATAATTTACATTCATTTGTGGTGATGAATTTGCTGTTTCTTTAATAAATATTTAAATTCCATTATTAATCCTTGAAATGTGAACTGCATTTATTCCCAATACCTAGTTACACATCACTTTATTATTACCAAATTATTTCATAGTTTCCTGAATTAACATTGGTAGTATGTTATACGTGTATATGTGTATTTGTTTCGTATATATACACACACATATACACACATACATATATATACACACATACATATATATGCATAAACACATACATATATACACATACATTCATATGTATACACACATATACACACATACATATATACACATACACACAGACACACACACACACACACCCCATACCTGTGGAATTCTTCTGTGTTAAAATTTGATATTAGTTGAGTGTGGTGGCCATGCTTTTAATTACTGACCTGGAGAAGCAGAGGCAGTCACATTTTGTGAGTTTGAGGTCAGCTTGGTCTACATAGTGAGACCCTGTCTAAACAAATAAACAAACAAAAACTTTATCTTTGTCTGACGTACATTCATAATTTTTTAAAATTATGTTTTTTTGATATTGCTTAGGGTAGATTTTTTAAAAAATGTGTATTATTTTATGTGTTTGGATGTATTGCCTGCATGTATGTCTGCATATATGTGTCTAGTACAAGTAGAAGCTAGAAGCGGGTTTCAGATTCCCTGGAACAGTTGTTTGTGAGCCTCTGTGTGGGTCCTCTGGAAGAGCATACAGTGTTCTTATCTGCTGAGCTCTGTCCAGCCCTAGAGTGGATCTTTTTAAAGAACTAGTTTACATGCCAGGTGGTGGTGGTGCACGCCTTTAATCCCAGCACTTGGGAGGCAGAGACAGGCGAATTTCTGAGTTCGAGGCCAGCCTGGTCTACAGAGTGAGTTCCAGGACAGCCGGAACTACAAGAACTAGTTAGCTAAATGCTTTCTGCATGTAGTACTTTCCTTATTTCCCTTTTTCTTATTTCCATTTGATTTACTGTTTTTCTGTTTTCCTCTGTTATATCTGATAATTCTGTCTCACTAAGCTGTGCACAAATTATCACACTTAAATGGAAATTATCTTGTCACTTTGCGAATACGTGGGTATTTTACTGTTATCATTGGTATACTGCTACACGGATGTTTTTGTTGATTGATAATTATATAAAATCACCATGAAACACATGAAGCTTCAGCAGCCTCAGGGAATTTTTTGTTTTTTTGTTTTCCATTTTTTCTCCTCTTTGTTTCACTTGAAACAGTTCTAGTTTACAAGCTCTTCACCAGCTTGCTAGCACTCTGTCATGTTTGCTCAACTGCCCTACTTGCATACACACATACTTTGAAGTTTCAGGCATCCTGAAACATCACTCTTAAATATCTCAGCATGCCCCTTTTAGATTTTTGATTTTCCTGAGAAAGGGTTTAATCTGCCCTGGCTGTCCTGGAACTTGCTTTCTCCACCAGGCTGGCCTCAAACTTAGAGATCCATCTGCCTCTGCTTCCTGAGTGGTAGGTTAAATGATTTATTTTTAATTACGTGTATATGGTGTGTTTGTGTAGGCCTGTGTGTGTGGGTATGGATACCCAGTGAGGCCAGAGGCATCGGCTCTCCCTGCAGCTGTCGTTACAGGTGTTTGTGGGCTACCAGACGGAGGTGCTGGGAACTGAATTCACATTCCTTGGAAGAATAGTATATGCTCTTCATCATTGAGCTGTCTCTCCAGTGTCTAAACCTTGAAATTCTATGTTCTGAAGTGTTTTGCTTTCCTTCCTCATACTTAAGTAAAATATTAATAGGAAATTGAATGGGTTGGTACAAATGACACTTTGGAATTGGGAGATATTCACCAGGCTAAGCTCTTGTCTTGCCAGTTGGAGGACCTAGGGTTTGAATGTCCAGAACCTACGTAAAAAACAAGGTGGGTATGGTGGCCATCATGTAATCCCAGCTGATAGGAGGCAGAAACAGAAAAACTGGGCAAGAGTTTTTCTTACCAAAACAAATCAAGTTTCAGGTTCAGGGGACAGACTGCCTCAGTTATAAAAGGCAGAGAGTATTTGAGGGAGACACCTAATGCCATTCTCTTTTCTACGCATGAACACATATGTATGTTCACATGCGTGTGTACCATATGTACATGCATTTGCAAAGAGAACAAAAATTTTGTTAAAGATATGTCACTGGTTAATGAAAGTTTTTCAAGAAAAGAAGCTTGTTAGAACAAATTTAGTGCCAGTTTCTAAATTAAAGACTCGGTTTAGAATATGGCTGTGACATTTTATAGTGCGCTTATTCCAGATAGCAATAGCTTCAAATGTTTAGTAAAATAGAGTCCATGATAACTGTTCTGGTATCTAGTGCTGTGTAATAAACTAATGGTGCAAAATAGTAACTTTATTATGTTCACAGACACTGTAAGTAAGATAATTAGGGCACATAAGAGATGGCTAAACCCTTTAGTGAGAAAATGTAAGTGGCTATCCCCACATCTGATAGTTAACTGAGGTAGCTGAAGGATAGATTCAACCAAGCTGTCACCTAACATGCCTGCAAATGGCTATTTTTTTTTTTGAGACGGGGTCTCATATATAACCCTGGCTGGCTTTGGACTATGTAGCCATGAGTACCCTTGAACTTCTGGTCACCCTGTTGTACCGCCTGACTGCTGAGATTATAGCATATGCTATCATGCTTGGAACATGCATTGCTATAGACTGAACTTAGGGCCTCCTGCATGCTGGCCAAGCCCTCCACTCAGAGCTGTATACCCAGACCTTCAGTGGCCTTTTGAAGATGCTGGTTCAGAGTTCCACAAGCAGTATTAGAGTAAGAATGTATTGGCTTTTTACAACCCAGCCTTACCATGTCTTGTTGTTCAGAGCAGTCACAGACCAGCCTAAAATAAAGGGAGAGAAAGAATGTCAGATGTTTGGGACTGTGTTTTAAAGCCACCACTGTTGTCATTGATAAGAGTATGGGCCCGATGTTTTGTGTCTTTAGTATTAAATCATAGCAGGTGCCCAGGACATTTGATAAGTGTGTATCAAGTGAGTGAGTATCTGGAAGTTTTGCTTGCTTGGTGCCTTTCTGTACTATGTGAATTATTTTACAATAGGCATATGATAGACATTTGTTTTCAAAAACGTGTGTGTGTGTGTGTGTTCTCGTGAGTTTATTGCACTATGTGCATGTAGGTGCCTTCAGAGGAAAGGAAGGGGCATCAGATCCTCTGTAACTGGAGTTCCAGGTGGTTTTAGCCACCAGACGTCAGCACTAAGAACCCAACTTGAGTCTTCTGCCAGAGCAGTAAGCGCTCCTAGCTCCTAAGCCATCTCTTAAGCCCCCTTTTCTTTTTCTTTCCTTTTTTTGAGATAGGGTGTTTCTGTGTGGTTCATACTGACCTGGAACCCATGGTCTTTCTGCTTCAGACTCCTGAGAGCTGAGATTACAGCCATGCAGCACTATGTGGCTAGCATATGTTAGACTTATGAATCAAAATAAAAAGCAAATAAAACATATCATCTGAATGTTTTAATTTCTTTTGTGATATCCTAGGTATTTAAATGATTTCTATGAGTTGGAGCTACAGCATGGTTCTGGTGTTGTGGGCTGGAGCATTCCAGCCACCAAAGGCATTGTGCCTTCTCCAAGAGAATCCCATACTGCTATTATATATTGTAAGAAAGACTCTGGGAGTCCTAAGATGTATGTTTTTGGTGGAATGTGCGGTGCTCGTCTGGATGACCTATGGCAGCTTGATTTAGGTAATCTTAATTTGACTCAGGAATTTCTTATGATTAGTAAAGGGAACAGTTTTAATGCATTTAATTTTTTTGTTTAAATATCTGTCAAGTTGCACTAAGATTTTAGTCAGCAGTTATAGTCTTAGAAACAGATGAGACATAGTCAATAATTTTGAGCAAATGAATGTTCAATTATGGTGGTAATTTTCCTCCTTTCATACCACCTTAAGTCCTGGTTTGTCTAGAATGGTCCAGCTTTGTGCTTACTGTTCTATGTAATTGTCAGTAGTACCCTCTGTCACCCAGAGAAGCATCTTGTTAGGTTGCTAATTTGTATGGTTGTCTGCTCTATCTTCCAAGTATGGCTTTCACAACATAGCCTAACCCGTGGGAAACCCTGAGGGCAGCTCTTCTGAAGGGATTCTAGAATCAAGCAATGGGAAATGTGCTTCTCCTCTTTGACTCTCTTATAAACTGTGCTCTTATTTAAAACTTTAAAATCAGAAATATTATTTGTAACTTAAAATGAATGACATGTTAAGCACACCTTTCCGATATAAATGTTAAATTCAAGTGTAAATAGATTTCTGATTGGCAGTTTTTGTGGTGTGGATGACTTTCATCTAAACCATTTGAAACATTTTTGATTTACTTTTATTTGAAACATGTTTGCTTTATTTTGATAAATATTTCTTTTGTTTATCTTTTAAGTGTGTAAATTGAGATGATTTGCTATTATTAGATCGGATTCCTGATTTGCTTATTTTTATTTCTAGAAACTATGTCATGGTCAAAACCAGAAACTAAAGGGACAGTGCCACTTCCACGGAGCCTTCATACAGCCAGTGTTATAGGAAACAAGTATGACTTGCTTTTGTTGTTTGTGTTTTGATTTTTTATTTTTACAAACTTGAAAGATTCATACAAAAAAAGTAAAGATGTTCCTTTCTTAGAAAGAGATTACTGGCCGGGCAGTGGTGGCGCACGCCTTTAATCCCAGCACTTGGGAGGCAGAGGCAGGTGGATTTCTGAGTTCGAGGCCAGCCTGGTCTACAGAGTGAGTTCCAGGATAGCCAGAACTACACAAAGAAACCCTGTCTCGAAAAACCAAAAAAAAAAAAATATATATAGATTACCGAATAGTGCCTCCGTGTGCTAAATTTATCCATCTGTGGGAGCTGAAACCCCTGCACACATTGTCTGTTAGGACTGTCTGTGATGCTTGTTTAGCTCCCCTGTGACTTTCCTGGAATGGGGGTCATGACCATCAGCAGGTTTTGCCAACCTGCTTTGTCCTCTCTTTGGTTAGATTCCCAGCAGCCACATGGTGGTTCACATCCATTCGTATTTCCAGTCCCAGGGAGTCAGAGGTCTCTGCTGGCTTCCTCAGGCACAAGGCAGCCAGCCGTGTGATGCATATGTATATATGCAGGCAAAACACCCAGACACATGAAATACGTTTTAAAAAGAATTCTCTCTCATTGGCAATCTCAGCCTGGGAGAGCAGGCCCTAAAAACAAAGTGGACTAAATTCTCATGCAATAGCCAACTTTATTCAGAGCACGAGAAAGTTTTACTCTGAGGGTTAAGAAGAATCACATGAGTAAGGTGTTCAATCTCATGGACAAACCACATGTGGCAAAACATATTTTTTCATACAGGCATATGTATAACAACAGCTGAAGTAAACTGTTCGCTACACCTGGAAGGAGCACGAACACACATTCCAAGAACAGTTGTGTGCTTTGAAGAAACTCAAGTCTCAAGACTCTTAGTGTCTTGGAGTTTTCTCACATGCACTCAGAATTCTCACACTGCTCCATTTCTGGACTGTGTTCCAACAAGAACTTTTGGGTGCTGGGGAAAGTTTAAGCTTATTTATTTATCTGTTTTAACAATGCTGGAGTCGAACTGAGAGTCTTACATGTATTTCATGTATTTCTGTGTCCTATCACAGAGTTATATTGCTAAACTTTTTTTCTTCCATTTGAAGACCAAGTTTCACTGACTTACCCAGGCAGGCCTCAGACTTGTGATCTTCTCGCCTCAGCCTCCCTGAGTAGCTGAATTGTAAGCCTGCACTATCATGCCTGTTTAAGCATGGTTTCTCTACAGCCTCCCATGCAGTTGGGATTATAGGCATTCATAGCCCCACCAGGCTTAAAGTCGTTATAGTTAAGTAATAGCAGTGACGGAAGTTATGTGAAATTTCACCTTTTTTGACCACTGTTTTAGCTACTTTTTGTTGATGTGATTAATGAAGGGCCAGTTCTGCTCACACTTGGAGGTGATATCCACCATTTTGGGGAAGTGGCTGTGTGGCTGTCAAGAAGCAGAGAGAGATGGGTGCTAGTGTTCTACCGTATTATATAACGCTGGTCTCAGCAGAGTAGAGTTTAAACACGCTGCACTTAAATTTACTTGCCAAAGTGGGATTCTGACTGAGCAGTGCTTCATAAACCCAGCTTTCTCTGGTCACTGCTGTGCTGCTGTGACGGCTTTTGTTCCATTTCCCAGCGTGCCCTTAAACTCATGGACTCAAATAATCCTCCTCTTTGCTTAGCTTCCCAAAATACCTATGACTTCAGATGTGTACCACTCTGACTTAAAATGGTGAATTCTTTAAAAAAAAATACTTAACCCGAACCATTTTATTCATTTTCTTATTTATAGAATACTACCTTTACCTTTATGGTAGGGACTGAGTGGTTCTGAAATTTAAGTCAATAAGTAAATTTAAGTTCATTCTTACTATTTCTGATGCAAAAAGTAAAATTAAATCACTTAAAGTTTTTGGTTTTCTTCTTGTCTAGGATGTACATTTTTGGTGGATGGGTTCCACATAAAGGTGAACATACTGAGACTTCTCCCCATGATTGTGAATGGAGGTGCACCAGCTCGTTTTCTTACCTAAATCTAGGTGAGTCCTCGGAAACTGACTCACTGCCGTGCATGATGCTGTTAGTAAAGTAATTTCTGTTACTTTGCTGCGTAAGAGCAGTAGCTGAATCATGGACGTTCCTTTCCTTTTAGATACAGCAGAGTGGACTACTCTAGTATCAGATTCTCAGGAAGATAAAAAAAATTCAAGACCAAGACCAAGAGCAGGACACTGTGCTGTCGCGATTGGCACTCGGTTATACTTTTGGAGTGGAAGAGATGGCTACAAAAAAGCACTTAATAGTCAAGTTTGCTGCAAGGATCTTTGGTATCTTGATACTGGTAGGTAAGAGTACTTAATTAAATCCTAACTGTAGGAACTCAGTGTCTGTGTCTGATGATTCAAAGTGAATATAACTTCTTCTCTTTCTTACAACTAGAAGTGAGTGGAAGAATTGTATACCTACTCCCCACTCCCAAGATGTCTATTAATTCCTCTCTCCTGGAGGCAGTATTTGTTCTTCATTACTGGGCCAGCTCTCTTTCTAATAACTTTTATTGGTCATTGTATTGTTGAAATCTAATGTCATTCTTTATTGGGCTTTGTTTCAGAAGGCAGTTAACTACTCACCAGCTTGACTCAGTATAGCTTTTTAAAAGTACTTTTCATGGAGAAGTATTTTACTTTACTGTAAAGGATAATTTATTCCTATACTGTGAGGATAATTTATTCCAGTTAATAAGGGTTACGTCCTGTGGGGCTGGAGAGGCGGCTCAGCAGTTAAGAGCACATTCTGTTGTTGCAGAGGGCTCCACTTCCCTTCCTATCTCCCACAGGAGGCAGCTGTGTATAGCCCCGTCCCAGGGCATCCAGAACCTTCTTCTGAGCTTTGTGTCTGTACTCAAATGCACAGACTCATGGGTAATAGAGAGCGAAGGCGTTCCTCGTGCCATTTTCATACACATCATAATGCTTTCTTCTAATAATCCTCCCTCTGAAGATTTATTGCCTTTTCTGAGACAGAGTCTTATGTGTCCCCGCTGGCCTTGAACTCACTCTATGGCCAGTGATAGTCTTTTCTCTCCACCTCCTTAGTGTTGGCATTAGGGTGTGCAAACAACATGCTTGATTTATGTAGTGTTTTTGTATATACAAAGTTGATTAGTAAGACGTTGGGAACAACACTGAATAGAACAACTAAACTGGAGACTAGATGTTTTCACTAAAGGAGCACACTAGCAAAGAGAAAGAAATACAGAAAATCCAATTTACTGATTTGTCTTTTAAATTGAGGTTTACTAACTTACTATTTATACTAGTTAGGGTTTCTTTTACTGTGATGAAATACCATGACCAATCAACTTGGGGAGGAAAGGGTTTATTTGGCTTATACTTCAATCTGATACTCAACATTAAAGGAAATCAGGGTGGGACCTGAAGGGCAGGAGCTGATGCAGAGGCCATCTAAGGAAGCTGCTTACTGGCTTGCTTCCCTGTGGATGGTTCAGCCTGCTTTCTTATAGATCTAGTACCACCAACCCATGGATGGCACCCGCCACAATGTCCTGGGCCCTCCCACATTGAGCACTACTTAAGAAAGTGACCTGTGGCTGGGTTTCATGGAGGCATTTCCTCAACTGAGGTTCCCTCCTTCCAGATGACTCTAGCTTGTGTTGAGTTGGCATAAAAACTAGCCTGGACGTGGATAATACAAAGATAAGCTTCAGCTGATAAAATTATAAGAAAAAATGAGTACGTGTAGATTTTTCTCTATGGAATACATCAGTTTTTGTTCTCTACATGAGAGATCTGTGCTTTTAAAGGGTTAAAAAAAACCTCCACTGGATCTGTAATTATTATTTTTTTATTAAAGGCTTTGGACACCACTGATCATTTAAAAGTTTCATGTTGCCTGTAGGGTTGAGGCCTTGTGCTCTTTGCCTTGTTCACTTTGGCACATCTGTTGTTGCCAGTGTTCAGTCATGTTTGTGCAGTCTTGAGGGTGAGACTGTATGGGTGTAGCCTCTGACCTTGCAACAAGACAGTCTCAGAAAACTCCCTGTCTTCTGGCTTTACAGTCTTTCTGTCTGCAGTGTTCCCTGAGCCTTATGTGCAGGACAGTGGAGAGATCGCCTTCCCCAAGCATAGAGCACACCAGTTGTTTATCCAACACAAAATGGTCACCCCAGAAACACCTTACAAATAATAGTGTATGGACTGAACAGGTTATCTTTAGGAATATAAGTGCGCGTGTGCGCACACAAGTGTGTATTTGACAGCAGTTAACAGAATTTTTCCTCCCTCTCACACACTGGTTTCTTTCCTCATTTGCACATATATAGTACTGCAGAGGTCAAAGGATGAGACCTGAGGGAGAAGGCGAGTGCTCATCTTCCTGAGCCTTCCTTCCTCATTTATAGTTTCCAGTTCCATCCATTTTGGTTTGGTTTTGTTTTTTGTTGAGGGGAGGGAGTTGGGTTTTTTTTGAGACAGAGTTTCTCTGTGTAGTGGTAGCTGGGCTTGGAACTCACTCTTTAGACCAGGCTGGCCTTGAACTCAGAGATCCACCTGCCTCTGCCTCCCAAGTGCTGGGATTCACGGAATGGGCCACTACTGCCCAGCTCTATTATTTTTTCAAGCTATAATTCTATTTTTCTTTTATGTATGTACCACTTTCACCTGTTGCCAGACATTTAGTTGATGCATTTCCTTGACATTTTGAATAGAGAAGCCATAGACATAGTCATAGATGAGGAAGTATGTCTGTAGTAGGATAAGTGAGGGTTGTGTCTTTAGTCTTTTGAGAATCCCCCATTGGTGTCCATAGTGGCAGCCCCAGTTCACACTCTGGGCAGCAGAGTGAGTCGTCTTTTCCACAGTATCTTCAGTGTCGCTGTTTTCAATGAGAACCATTTTGACAGCGATGAGACGGGGTTACAGTAGTTTTCACTTGCGCTTCCCTGATGGCCAAGGACATTGAACACATTTATTTATTAGCCATTTTATTTACTACTTTGAAAATTCCCTGCTGCTCAGCTCATTTTTTAATTGGGTTGTTTTCGTGCTACTAGGTTTGTAAGTTCTTTGTATTTTCTAGATAACAATCCATTACAGATGACAAAGGCTTTCTCCTGCTCTGTAGGCAACCTCATTCCTCAGTTAATACTTTGCTTTGCAGAAATTAATTTCATGCAGTCCCATTTGTTGATAATTGCTTTATTTCCTGAGTGACTAGTATCCTAGTTTAAAAGTCTTCACCTGTACCTATGACTTGAGGTGTCTTCCCTACATTTTCCTCTAATGTGTTCCTGAGTTTCAGGCTTGGTTCGTTTTTTTATGTGCGTTGGTGTTTTGCCTGTATGTATGTCTATGTGAGGGTGTCAAATCTCCTGGAACTGGTATTATAGACAGTTATGAGCTGCCATGTTGGTGCTGGGAATTGAACCTGGGTCCTCTGGAAGAGCAGCCAGTGCTCTTAACTGCTGAGCCATCTCTTCAGCTCCAGTTTTAGTTCTCTTTGATGATCTTTTCTACTCCCATCTCTAGAAGCTTTTGGAATTTCTTTTTTTCAGTTCCTGCAATTTTTAAATGTTATGATGCTGGTGGCTTGTTTCTGTTTGTTTATTTAGAGTCTTCCATTATAGCCCAAGAGGCCTCAAATTTGCAGTCTTCCTGCCTTAGGTATGTGCCACCATTCTCTCTTCGGTGTGTGTTTGTTTGTTAAACCAAGTTTTATTTTTATTATTTTGAATTATTTGTAGGTATGTGGTCTGAAGTTTAGTATGTACAACTGAGTGTAGGAGCCTGCAGAAGCCATGTCTGCTTCCCTGCAGGGGGAGTTACCCACGGCTGGGGCCCACATGATAACTGTGTAGAAAGTAACTCAAGTGCTCTCTAGCCATCTCCTCAGCTCTGCAGAGCTGATGTCGTCTGCTGTCTGAGGACTCACTGGACCCTTTCAGTCTGGTGGTTTAGTTTCATAGAAATTTACCTCAGGATTTACATTTTTCAAAATTCTCTTCATATCTTCTATCTTAATATATGTTTGATCTACTTCCCAAACCTCTTCAAATGTTTGCTTTTATTCAGGTCTGAGTTGCCTTACTTTGACAAATAAAAATAGCTACATTGATTAATGGGATGTCGGAGGACTTTCTGTGGGATTTGTTGAAGGTACTAGGCCATATAGTAAATATTTCAGGCCATATGGGTCCTCTGATTCTCCTTGAAGTATGAAAGTAACCCTAAGCAAAACACATTAACAAATGAGTCCTACTGTATTTCTGCAAACTTGTTCAGGAAACAGGCTTGGACTGGCTCTGGCCTGTTGTGGGTATATTGCTGCTCCTCAGTAAAAAGACAGATGTGAGGCTGGATCGATGGGTGATTCAGCAGTTAAGAGTGCAAACAGCTCTTCCAGAGGACCACATGGCACCTCCCAACATCTGTGACTCCAGTTCTGAGGATCTGACAGCTTCTCCTGGCCTGTGTGCACCAGGCATGCATATGATGCACAGATATACATGGAGGCAAAACACCTACAAACATAAAATAATGGTTAATATAGTTTTAGAAGATAATATTTTAAGATAAATTAGATAATGAGCCTGCTGAGCTACAGGCTTGTTGACTGCAAATCACAAAGATGAATTTTCTTAGCTAACTGTCCAAAGCAGGGAACATACTTTCTCTCAATTGTGAAGTTCATTCACACCCTAAATTTACATAGAAGATAGGACCAAAGATATTGTATGTATAATCTTAGATCTTAAAGATCTGTAACTTGTTATGGAAATGTTAGCAATATTATATACCAAGGTTCTATGCTTTAGGTAATACTGATTGTGTTAAAGACATATTAAAACCTTATATTTTTCTAAAATATATCCAAGTCATTTTTTTCTAATAGCAGTATTTCTAGCATGTATGCTGTTGGTTGAAAATCAATTCTTTAAATTAAAAAAAATTAAAATTTCTAAAGGTAAAATAGCAAAGCAGTAATTATATAATACCCAGTTACACTCCTCAGCCTTTTAGATGACATGAGTCATGTTCAGGATAGACCTTCAGGTTTCTAGGATTAAACCGTTTTCATTCTCAGTCTAATTACTCAAGTAGTTTGGTATTGGATTGTTCATTTGTATGACACCCTGAGTAAAGTCAGAGCTGTACAGTACTGTGATGTCACTGACTCTGGCTGCCTTGAAATATATTCAGCAAACCGTGCAGCGCTCATTGCTGGAGTTCTCAACGCTTCTGTACACCAAAACTATTGGCGAAACTAAAGGATTATATGGATATTTTTGTTTAGAGAAACCTCCAGCGCCATCACAAGTCCAGTTAATCAAAGCTACTACCAACTCTTTCCATGTCAAGTGGGATGAAGTGCCTACGGTGGAGGGCTATCTTCTGCAGTTGAATACTGACTTGACATACCAAGCTACATCGTCTGATTCTTCAGCAGCACCAACTATGCTAGGTAAAATACGTGTCATGCTTACGGAATGCGTGTCTGCTCACTTGCTTCTTAAAACACACCGCAGGAAATCTCGTGGTTGTGCTTGGTTCAGGACAATGCATGAATTTTAACCTGTCCTGGTACATACCCGGTAAGCCAGCTCTCCTCAGCTTCAGCTCTGAGACTTGACTGTTTTACTGTTGATGTGGTAGATCTCAGAAAGGTACATAGAGTTTATTTTGGTGCAGTTTTAAAATTTATAGTGCCTGAGTTCCAGAAATGTTTTTAATTAGCTTTCAGAAATATTTTACTGTTTTTCTGGTTTTAACTGAACAGACCCTTGGAAAGGAATTAAATTTGATACAATCTTCAGGAAGAATTTCAGGAGCTATTAAGTAAACTATTAAGAAATTGGCTAAACTTGAATAAAGATGATATTTTAATCTTGCACTTGTATATTTACAAATGTTTTATGGATGCTAATTAAGAGCACATGAGTGTGAACTTTCTCATCCCTACAGGAGGCAGGACGGACCCTCACAGACAAGGCAGTGATCGCATTCTTCATAACAGTGTAAGTTGAAGCATCTGTGATGACAAATGAGTATTGACGGCTATAGTCCCAGTTTTTATTGAGATTTTTCTGTATATTACTCTGAATAGATGACTCCTCCTGGCTCTCTATCAGACTCATCTCTGAGCTGTCCCGCAGCTGTGTCCTCCCAGGGCTGGGGGTGAGGCTCAGCGTTAAGAGTGCTTGCTGCTTACATGAGACCCTGGATTCTCTCTCTAGCCCCTCAGAAATAAAAGGGGGAAAAGTTCTGCAGGAGAAGCCTGAAGTGAATTCTCTTGTTATGAGGAGAAGCCTGGTTTCATCGCATGTAGCATCGGATGCTCAAGTTGATACTTAGGAGCCAGGCGTGGTGGTGCATATCTGTATTTCCAGCATTTGAGGCAGAGCCGGAGGGTTCAGAAAGTCAGCTATAGTGTTGAGTTCATAGCCAGCCTGAACTAAACAAAACCCTGTCTCAACCAAAGTGCATTTTTATGTTTATATTGTGACATTCCTAGATACCACACATACATTAATTCTGCATCTATAAAATATCATTTAAGTATATTTTCATGGTTTAGTATATGTCATTTACCAAAGAATATCAGTAGCTAAACTGAACAGCTATGAGTTTACTTGTTCTTTATGAAGTAGTCATGGTAAGTATTTGTATAAGATAATGGCCCAGCATATTAAAGTTCATTGTTTTCTTCTGGTAAACTGCGGTTGATCGCAGTGGATCCTTCCCATGGGAAGGGATGAGCTGGATCCTTATGCTGAGTGTGACTGAGGACCAAGAGTGTGAGAAAACACTGTAGTTGTCCAGGAAGGAGGCCTTACAAAGCTGTTGTCCATACAGTTTGTGAGTAGCCTATTTCAGTAGACAAACTATATTTATATTATGTGTATAAAGGTATTGTGAATATTATATCTTATGTGTGTCTGTGTGTACCATAAGTTACTGTTGCCCCTTCCTGTTCTTGGATCTTGCTAAAAAATGACTCCTTTAAATTATTGTAGCTTTCTTTTAGTATCTAATTGTACCCTCTTACATGAAGTCATAGTTTAATCTCAGCACTCAGGAAGCATAGGTAGGCTTGGTCTACAGAGTGAGTTCCAGGACAGCCAGGGCTGCATAGCGAGATAACCCTGTCTTGAAAACAAAGCAGAAGAACAACAACAATAAATAAAATCCTTATTTCACCAAGCCTTTACCTTCTAGCTTTTGATCACTTCTCTTCACTGAGAAGCTGAAGAAAGTGGGTGATGGCGAGTGCTTGTAACCCTGTCGTAGGGATGCAGGGGCAGGAGCAGTCTTAGGCCAGCCAGCCAAACCTCTTGGTAAATTCTAGGCCAGGGAGACGCTGTCTCAAAAAACACAGGACAGCTTTCTTGGGGAAGTAAAGCCAAGGTTTCCTCTGGTCCCCATACACATGTGCAGATATGTTTGCATACACACATTCACACATACAGGAAAAATAACAGAAGGTGAAGACTTGGTGCTCTCTCCCCTGTCTCCCCTCTCCTCTAGCCTTGAATCTTTGTAGTTGAGTTGGACTTGATGTTTGTGTTACAATGATGACGTATTTATAAATGAGCTATGTAGTATGTTGTTAGCATGTTCTTTCACATATAACTTTGCTTTTCCTGCCATTAGCTGCCTCCCTTTTTCATCATTTTCTTGTTTTTTCTTTACTATAATTACTTTATATTCAGATTCCAGCAATTTTTTTTGTTTTTTGGTCTTCTGGAGCCTTACTCCATGCTCTAGTTCAGGGCCTCCTAAGCCTGGTCAACACATAGCATCCTTCTTTTGCCTAAGGAAAATGTGCACAATCCAGTATCCAAAATAAAATAAGTAGACAAATGAAATATCTGCTAATAATAATTCAGAGAAATGTGTGGTATGTCTATGTAAGTGAACATGTGAATGTAAGGATGCAATGGAAGGCAGAGGCCAGCATCAGGTGTCTCCGCAGTCAGCAATGGAAGGCAGAGGCCAGCATCAGGAGTCTCTGCAGTCAGTAGTGGAAGGCAGAGGGCAGCATCACGTGTCTCCCCAGTCAGCAATGGAAGGCAGAGGCCAGCATCACGAGTCTCCGCAGTCAGTAGTGGAAGGCAGAGGCCAGCATCACATGTCTCCCCAGTCAGCAATGGAAGGCAGGGGCCAGCATCATGTGTCTCCCCAGTCATTCTCTACCAGAGCTTAAGACAGGGTGTCTGAACCTGAGTCTTAAAAATTCAGCTATCCTGGCTGGTCAGCACGCCCCAGGGGTCCATCCTCCTGTCTCCACTCCCCCAGCACGGGGCTAAAGGGATGCTCCACCTCAGACAACTTTGTCACATGAAGTTTTGTTTGGATCCTGGGCACCTGAACTCAGGTCCTTGTATTTGTGCTGAAAGTATTTTATCAAATGAATCATTTCTCCAACCTGAGAAATTGCTTTAAAATTAATCGTTTGGTATGCATACAGTTTACCATTATTAAAGATAGAAGCAAATTTGCATACTGATGAGATGGTTATGCCTTGTTAATTTTTACATACCTAAGTCTTGGCTGAATACTTAATACTGGAAGATTTAGAACATCTTCAATGTTTTTAAAGACTAATGGCTATTTTGATTTTATGATTGTAGATGCTGAGAATGCCGCTTCACATAAATATGTGGACAAAATGGCAGAAGTCTTTTCAGGGCCAGTCCACACATTGGTGGAACTTGCACCCTAACTCTTTCCTTGTGAGCCAGAGTTCATGTAAGGCTTTTGTAAAACTCAAGCAGCAGTTTAAAAGAAATCAGATATCTAGAGGCCAGCAAGATGGCTCAGTGAATACACACACACACACAGGCACACACATATACACACACACACACACACACACACACACACGAGTAAAACAGCAACATTGGAGGAAGGCAGGCCAGCTTTATGGTCACATGGCTGTACAATGGATGGGGTTGTCATTAATAAATGAAGTTTAAATGTGTTCATTATATTATCTTTAGGAAGGTAAATTAATTATCACTAATAAAACCCTGTCTCTTCTGCTCCTTCCCTCAACACCAGTCTCTTCTGCCTCAGCCTCCTAAGTAACCAGAATTAAATGTCTATACAGCCAGGCTTAGCATTAAGAAGGTTTCTGACCAAATGTTCAATAGTAAATAAGTCTTATAGTAGTATATTATTGAGTCTTTATATATAAAAGTCATTCATACAGAATAATCCCTTTGCTGAAATTTTTCTTTTAAGAGTCATCATATTTTTTGGCTATGTGTTTAATTTGTTTTTTAAAAATCAAATAGGGGCAACAGAATGGTTCAGTGAGTCAAGAACTTGCTATGCAAGCCAGACTAGAAGAGTTCAATCCCTGAACCCACATAAAAAGCAGGAGACCACTCACTGCACAGAGTTGTCCTTTGACTAATCATGTACCCCCATACACATACACAGCTCACACATTGTTAATAAAATGTTAAGTGGAGGGGTTCTCATGGCTCACCTGGGCTACATGAGTAGTTCTTTGTAACACTAGCCACCATGGTAAAAACTAAACCTGCCTAACTACAGCTACAGTCTTTGGAACATGGAGATTAAGTGGGAAATATCCTAAAACTACTAGTTTTAAAGAGTGATTCTATAAAAGTTAGTGATATAATTTTAAATGTTTTATGTTTTGGTAAGTTTTAGTTTCTGTTATTGTTTTACGAATCTTATTTCTAGCCTAGGCTAGCCTCAAGCACTGGAGCTTCCTGCCCCAGCTCTCAAATGACTAAGATCCCAGGTGTGCACCACCACTCCCTGTTGGTAAACTTGCCTTCTTCCCAAATGTACTTGAAATATTTTGCTGTTTTTATATGTGTACTTTTGTTTCACTTACATCACTTGCTATGATGAACTGTTTTATTTCTTGTAGGTTAGTGATACAGTAAACAGTACAAAAACTGAACACACAGCTGTGAGAGGAACTGCACTGAAAAGCAAACCAGACTTGAGAGCAGCAGATTCTAGTGCTGCTTTACACTCACCATTGGCACCTACTGCTTCCAATAACAACAGCTGCATGACTGATATGCTGTGGAAGAATGAAGGTATAGGGCTACATTGTACATCAAGTTAAAGCTTTATAACCTGGGCAGGGGATGCCAGAGTTACTGAAAAGGTAGACGTTATACTGTTTTTGGTGGGGAGTGTGTGTGTGTGTGTTTGGTTTTTCATGACAGGGTTTCTCTGTGTAGCCCTGGCCTTGAACTTGGAGATTGCCCTGCTTCTGTCTCCCAAGTGCTGCTACCACCCAGTTTGTGTGTGTGTGTGTGTGTGTGTGTGTGTGTGTGTTTTGAGTGAGTCTTACTGTGTACTCTTGGCTGTACTGGAATTAACAGAGATCCATGTGCCTCTGCCTCTTGAGTACTGGGATTAAAGGCAAGTACTTACGTTAAATGGTTTTGATAATTTTCCTCGGAGTGAACATAGTTGACAAATTCACACATTGTAAGTATGACATTTCAGTTAGGGAAATGTTTAGTGACCTTGAGGTTGGCCAGTGTGGTTAGTGTGACTGTCCTTGTGCTTATTATCTGGTCATTTTTTAGCTATATGAGGTTATTTGTTTATTTTATTGCTATTTCCAAAGTGCTGTGATCTGTGCTTGATAAATAGTTGTCATTTAGTGAATAGTGGTGTACCGAGGATCTGAAGTAAGGAATGCAGATGTGGCGGCTGCATTCATAAGACAGCTCACAATTTGGTGATTTTTTTTAAATATGAAAATTCTGTTATATTTTTTTTTGTTTCTTTTTTTTTTTTTTTAAAGATTTATTTATTTATTATATATGAATACACTGTAGCTGTCTTCAGACACACCAGAAGAGGGCGTCAGATCTCATTACAGATGGTTGTGAGCCACCATGTGGTTGCTGGGATTTGAACTCAGGACCTCTGGAAGTGCAGTCACTGCTCTTAACCACTGAGCCATCTCTCCAGCCCTTTTTTTTTGTTTCTTATTTTTGGTTTTTTGAACAGGATTTTACTTTGTAGCCCTGGCTAACCTAGAACTCACTATTGTAGTCTAGGCCAACCTAAACGTGTGACAGTCCTCCTGCCTCAGCCTAAAAAATGTTGTAATTCACCATGCCTGGCTATACTGAGATGCCATTGAAATATATATATCAAGTATTGTTTGTGATTTCACCATCTGAAATTGTTTTACTAGTTCTGGCTTAGCCTTGGAATAGAAAGTAGCTTTTGAATTTTAAGACTTTGCAATAGCTGTTTTAAATCTAATTGTTTCAGGGATTCAAATATAATAGGATAAACATTCTTTTTCCATTTTGGGTCTACAGTAGATAAAAATACTGTAGAGCATTATTTTGTATGCTTTTCTCATTTCATTACTGGCACAAGCGGAGCGCTCTGCTGATGCTCCATTTTGTTTGGTTGGATTTTATGTTTTTTGAGACCAACTCACATTGTCTTCCAGGCTGGCTTAGAACTCAGATGTTTCCCAGGCTACCTGGCCTCAAGCTTCTAGTGACTCTTCTGCTGCTTCACCCTTCCAAGTGCTGGGGTTGTAGGTGTGGTCCGCCATACCTGACGGGGCACTGCTTTCTTGACATGAAGGGATTATTTGGTATAGATGAGCTTGATTCCAAACTTCATTTAACATTTTTTATCTGCAAATTTCTGCTGTACAAAGAAGTTTATCTGCTGAGAGCATATTTAAGGTTGAGCCTTCCACGTTGTCAGTAAAATCGATTCTGAGCAAACGGAAGAGCCAGCGCTTGTACCACAGCACCTGACATACCAGGAACACTGTCAGGGCCTGGGTGTTTGGGCTCAGGTTACAAGGAATGTGACATTCTTTACAGACTGTAAGAACTGTTCTGTGTGCTTCCAGGAGTGAAGGAGTGTTAGGACTGCATGTCCTACACCAGACAAAGGGATGGTTTAGGAAAGAGTTGAAAGACTGGTTAGGAGGGGTTTTTAGGACTATCAGACAGATACACGTAAAGACAACACAGTGGGTAAGATAGAGTAGGGAAAAACCATTAAAGAGGCTCTTAGTATATCTTTAGTATAATATAAAGATGTAGTAATTAAACTTTGCAGCTGGTTGCTTATGAGAGGAAAAGATGAGTCGCATAAGACTGTTTTTAGTTGAACATCAGAATGGACACTGTACTTCATCAAAATGGAAATAGAGGAGCAAGAGAGAACACATGAGGAAGAATATTCAACTTTGAACTTAACTGAAATACTTGAGGAATGTATTGGGTAGTTTAATATATAGATCTGGAGTCTAGGAAGTAGTTCCTGTCTATAAATACAAATGTAGAAATTATCTGAAAAGTAAGTTCCACAAGAGCGAGGCCTTGTTGATATATTCGCTGCTAGATTCCCAACAGCCAGTCCTGTGCCCAGGTCACACATGTTTGCCTGGTGAGTGATTGGCGACTAGTGTTTACAGCATAGGGTACGTAGTGGAAGAGGGAAGATCTGTCTGAGGACACCAGGTAGAGAACATCACCGAAGAAGGAACCCAGCTGAAGGGAGGGAGAAAAGGGCCCTTAGCTTAGTGAGAGAAAGACTGTGGGGCTGGTTTTGTTTGCTTGCTTGCCTGCTTTTTATTTTGTCTCTTTTTTTTTGTAGTGAGTATCACAGTTTGCAAGTCTTTGCATATGTATTTTTAGCAGATGAAGAAATTCATGAGGCATGAACCCTGCCTGATTTCTCTCAACATCGTAGAAACAAACATGCCTGGTAGAAAGTCTGCAGTGTTGTCAGTGAGTGGATATAATTCATAGGAAGAGACGGGCTTTAAACAGAAATGTGTGGGCACCACTGCTTATCTTCCACAATATGAGAGAAGACAGACAATGGACACGATCATAAATACATTTAGGACAGGAGAAAGCAGAACATTGAAGAAATTCATGCCCAGTTACCACCCCCTCCATCCATACACACCCTAAAATTAGTCTCAAAGCCATTTGATCTACAGTTTAGTAGCAAATCATGTCAGTAGTTAGAGTAGAAGAAGGAGCTGAGATGCTAGACATTCATGCTCGATCCAGTGCACGTATCCTAAATATGTTATACCCAGAGATTAATCAGAAAGATCCATTGTTTCAACCCAGGTCCTCATGCTTCAGCACAGGAAGTGTACTAACTAGTTGCCTGGACTTAGGACAGTAGTTCCTGAACCTCGGCTCTCCAGTACTGTTTTCAGCATGCAGACTACAGTAGCCCAGTGGACTTAAAACTGAACCATCCAGTACAAATGTGCCAGTTGTTAAAGCTGAGACCTCACTCACTAGCAACATACAGTACCAAACTGTATGTTGGCTTGGTTTGGAACATATTTCATATATATATATGTGTGTGTGTATATATATGTATATGTATATGTATATATATGTATATACATGTATACATATACTATTTGGTTTGGAACACATTTCACACACTGCTGTGACCAGTGATGCTGTGAATCCTCACAGTAAGCAGTGTAGCCAGGGACTGCATTGCCCTGTGAGGCAGATCATGGCAGTTAGTTAAGATAGATATTTAAAATAGCCTGTCCTTCCCCTCTTCCCCTTTAACTTTTATCTTTTGTGAGCTAAATCCCTCTATGTAGCTCAGCCTGATCTCTAACCTGAGGTCCCCCTGCCTCAGCCTCCTGAATGCTGAGATTATAGGTGTAGATTTTTGCACCCAACTATATGCTTCTTGTTAGCCTCAAATTTAGCAAGTTTTTGTTGCTTGTCATGTTAGGAATTGAACCCAAGGTCATTCTTAGGCCACACTGGGCTACATCCTCTAGTCCAGTATAGTCTCTGCTCCTTTATGTGAGGTGTTTAGACCAACACACTCGGGTGCAGCCTGTTTCCTCTACTATGAATACGTTCAGCAAACGTGTTCCTTAGGAGAGATTAGTCCAGAGGATTAACAGTCCTTAGAGTTGATTGGTTTCTAAGGTTGTCACTACTTGTTCTCCTGTAGTAAGAACTGGGTTTCATCTTTGTAAGCATCCTCTCTTTCACCGTAGCTAGTCACCAAAGCCTTAGGAAAAGAACGTTGGGATTAGTTTGAATGGTTATTCCTTACTGATTGCTCTATTTTTCTTAGGTTGTTGGAGTGTGTGTGTGTGTGTGTGTGTGTGTATGCACATGTGCGAGTTCGTGCACTCATGTACCCACAGATGTGATTGTGTGTGCATGTGAAGGCCAGAGTCACCTTTTGTGTCTTCCTCAGTCACTGTACATCCTGTTGCTTGAGATAGGGTCTCTAATTTTTACATGGAGCTTGCCAGTTTAGCTGAGCTGTCTGACTAAGAAGCCTCAGAGATCTGCCTTTCTCTACCTCCCCAGCACTGGGGACCATGCCCAGGTTTTTTACATGGGTTTTGGGATTGATCTGACTGAGATATTTCCCTAGCTTCTCAGTTTTTTGGTCCCTTTAATCATGGTAAATACACATATACAATATACAAATATACATATCACAGATTATGTTTAAGAGTTTGGTGTCATTTAATACTCTGTATGTAATGTGTCTGAGTGATGATTTAATCGTTAACTGGTGGTTTGATTTTCAGTTGATGAAATCTGTGCTCTGCCTGCAACTAAGATCAGCCGTGTAGAGGTGCATGCTGCAGCCACACCATTCTCTGTGAGTTTATGACCTGGTGGTGACACGAGTGTAAACGGAATGGTCTCAGGTTTCCTGTAGTAAGAACTGATGGAAATTTAGAAGCAGGTGGAGGAGTAGGAAATTTCATAATATGTTTAGTGAAAAAGAATGATACACTAATAGTGTATATTTTGTGGTCCCAGTTTTGATGTAAAAATGTACTTATACACATGTTCATATTCCAAGTGTATCAGCTCACAATGTATCTTCAGTTGCTAGGTAACTATCTCTGGGATGTGAGACCACAGATAATTTTGATGTTCTTCTCCATGCTTTCTCTATTTTATATATGTTTAAGTGAACAGACACTTGTCTATTGGTGTAGATTACATTAAAGGTTAAAAGATGGGATTTGAGTGGAACAGAAATGGTTGGATAGCTGCTTCATAGCAGCACAGCAGAACTTTGCAATAACATGCAGGCTAGCTCAAAAATCTGACATTGACTTGTTTTATGGATGGCCATAATGGGCCTGCCTATCACCAAACTTAAATGCTTGCAGAGTGATTCACAGATACACCAGTGTTATCTTACTTGTATAAATATGAAGATCATGCATACATAGTTTTTAAAAATAGCCATTTTACTTTATTGCTGTGACTATTGATTACTTGCTTGTCTTTTACAGTCACTCAGATGTCTATAGTTTTTTTGTTTTGGGAATTTTAATCATATATCCTTTCCAGAATGTTAGTCTGTGTTTGTAGACTCTTCTCAGGGAAGTATTATTAAATGGAAAGATGTTTCTTCTGAATCTGTCTGTGATTCACCAGCCACAGTTGTGTTTGTTATTTCAGTTGGAGTCAGGCACCTTAGCAACATTGCTGAAGAGGCTTTCCAGCTTTGGCAAATGACCTGTTTAAAACTGCTCCTAACCGTTAGGCTCTTGTAGTTAGTTCACTGTGGCATGTTCTAGTCTGAATAACGAAAAATATGGATTCTGAGCATGCGTGTATGCTCTTGTATATTCAATAGAGGTAACTGAAGTGCACACTTGTTTTGAGCTTCTGCAAGCAGTGTGTCATTCATAAGAATACAGCTTTAAAGATTGGGTCCAGTATGGCTCACCTCAGAAAGTAGCTTAAATTAAACTCTAAAGCAGAGCAAAGCCATGTAAAGCACTTTACTCCCTGCTTTAGTATATACTGAAGTGCATTCAAATTGAATTTTAGTTTTGAACTTTTTTTCTCCTTTTAGGTTTGGAAAAGCACGGGTATTTCAGATACAAAGATCACTGGAGCTCTGTTTGTTTGTTTTGAATCTAGAGGGAAAAGCCAGCTTGGGATGGAGTTTTCTACGTGTTCCTTTTGGAGTAGATAGTAGCGTTTCTCTAAAGGGGTTACACGTTCTTTTGGTCTCTGACAGTGTCCTACAAGACAGCTGGCATTTTAACCTGTCACTGATGGGGAAGCATGCTCACTGTACCCAGGTTGATAGTAGCAAGCTCCTGGTGTCAAGTACCTGTTACACTGTCTGTTTGATGGGCACTGGCAGTTGATTTAGTCTGTTAAGACTTGTTTACTATGGGCTTGTAATGAGTGCTATTCATCCATCTGCACACTTGTAGATCACTGCATGGGGTTACGTACGTACGTCTTGACAGTTCTATGCTCAATGCGGTCTTCATAAATTTTCCTTTCTCTGAAATTAGAAAGAGACACCTTCAAATCCAGTGGCCATTTTGAAAGCAGAGCAGTGGTGTGATGTGGGAATATTTAAAAACAATACAGCTTTGGTGAGCCAGTTTTATTTGCTACCAAAAGGAAAACAAAGTATATCAAAGGTAACTGTTGATAAATTGTCTATACTTTGAGAGCTGAGGATGTAACTGTGGCAGAATGCATGTCTAGCATGTATGTGGATTTGGCTACAACTCCTAGCACTTCAAAAAGCAAGCTAAATGTACAGAAAGTGAATTGTGATCCTGGAGAGTGGGATTATATTGATAACTGTCATTGAGGTCATTTGAAGGAATGAAATTGGGATCTTTCCACATTGTATTATTGAGAGTGTTGTATATGTAATCACCTTACATTCTTTAATGCTGCTTTTGTGAATATGGCAGATACCATTTTAAAAATCTGCATCAACTAAGGTGTGTTTCTTTTCTTTTTTTTTTTTTTTTTTTGAGACAGAGTCTCATGTTGCCAGGCTAGCCTCAAATTTCTTAGGTAGCCAAGGCTGGCCTTAAAGCCCTGATTCTCTTGCTTCCACCTCCCAGTTACTAGGATTACAGGTATAACTGAGCTAGGTTCCAAGGCATAAAGATCTGGTCTGGTCAGATACAGTAAGGGCTTAAAAAATGTCTCCAATGGGTAGTGCTGGTGAACGCCTTTAATCCCAGCACTCAGGCAGTCAGATCTTTAAGTCTGAGGCCAGTCTGGTCTGAAAAGTGAGTTCCAGGACTGCCAGGGCTACACAGAGAAACCAGGTCTTGAACAAAATCAACAAAAAAAGTCTGCTTCAGTTGGGTGGTAGTGGCACCCACTTTTAATCAGATGAGAGATACCCAAACCAACCTATATCACTTATGAGTTTAGTTTCTGTAACAAAACCTTTGCTATCCTTCCCTCTTTTCCACTTTGAATATTTTCAATTCTTGATAAAAATGAAAATTCTAGTAAAAAAACATCACTTTTGTGGCTAATGAGATTCCTGGCTGAAGCTGAATATATATTCATATAAAGATACAGCCACATATAAAAAGCATGTTAGCTACCTAAGTTTTCTCAAAACTTTCTTAATTAGTATTTCTTAATTCAAAAAACCTGCAGCAAGAACATTTGAATTTAACTTTCTTTTTAACTTTCTTTTTTTGCTTTTGTTTTGTTTTATATTTTTATAAAGTAGGGACAGGGTTTCTCTGTGTAGGTCTGGATGTCCTGGAACTTTGTAGATCAGGCTGGCCTTGACCTCAAATCTGCCTGCTTCTGCCTCTCTAGTGTTGGGATTAAAGGTATGTGTCACCACTGACCAGCTGTGTTTGAATTTCTAGTTTTGACATTCTTCAGTGTTAACTGGGCAAGTTAGTTGTGTCACCAGGCTTCCACACAGTGTGATGGTCCAGTGGCACTGGGTATAGCATAGGCCTGATGGCTGGGCAGAAGAGCTGCAAAGTGTTTGCTTGGGTATAGATGCTAGGCTAGTACTACCCAAGAGGATGTCACCATTTAACATTTATGTCTTGTCCTGAATAGAGTCTTTAAATACACTACATGTTAGTCACTTCTTTTCTGCCAAACTTGCTTGTCTGTCTCTAAACGGTAGTGTGCTCCTCGGAAGATCATTGTATAACAGCAAGTCTGGGATTCTTAATAAGTTAATAAGTTCACATGGGGAGGGGGGATTTCTTTTTTTTTTTTTTTCCTTTTTTCCCTGCCTCTACTGCCTCTCACATGCAGAATTCCTTTGCCTTTCTCCTTATGATGAGAGATTCAGATCATCTTTCCTCTGGATAAGAATCCCTGATTCAGGCAGGGGCTTAGTGGGTTCTGTACTAGAGTTTTACAGTTTTTGTGTTAAAGGGAAATACATTATGGAACTGGATCCTTAAAATACACTCATTCTTAAAAAGTTTTGTTGTAAAATGATGGACTGGGTATTAGGTCTATCTTGTACCTTACTGATACAAACTGGTATAGTTATGCTCTAATTGTATTTTTAGAGAAAAGTTTTATCTTAACAGGAAGAGTGATATGTAGGAGGAGCTATGGTGGGAGGAGTGAGGAGAGGAGGAGAAGCTAGGAGACAGAGAGAGAGAGAGAGAGAGAGAGAGAGAGAGAGAAAGAGAGAGAGAAGGGTGGGAGGGAGGGAGAGAGGAAGAGAGGGAGGGAGGGAGGGAGGGAGGGAGGGAGGAAGGGAGGAAGGAAGGAAGGGAGAAAGGGAAGGAGGGAGAAGGGGGAGGGAGACATGGAGGTGGATGTTCCTGTGTCTCTGCCAGTCAAAGGTAGTTGGTATATCTAGGTTGGGTATTGGGTTACACTTCTGATTGTATGGGCATCTTGTTATTGAGCATTACCAAACTTACAAAGCCTTTGGTTAACATTTTAACATAAAAATAAAAATTTTTTAAAAATCTTAAAAAACCCCAACCAAACAAAAAGTTTTGTTGTTTAATAGAATTATAACTTTGAAGTAATATATGTACCTTTTCTCTGACTTTTGTATATTTTACATTTCAGGTAGGAAATGCAGACGTACCTGACTACAGTTTGCTTAAGAAACAGGATCTTGTTCCAGGAACAGTATATAAATTCAGGGTCGCTGCAATCAATGGCTGTGGAATAGGCCCTTTTAGTAAAATAAGTGAATTTAAAACGTGTATCCCTGGTTTTCCTGGAGCTCCGTCTACAGTCCGCATTTCTAAGGTAGTCTGTCAGGTCCAGTGAGACTTTATTGTGATACACATGATTTGAAACTTCTTTGTTGAGACATTCATATTAGCACTTGTGACAGATACCTAAGAGAGGTGAATTAAATGTCTAACGTTTGTCTTGGTAGCCATGCATGATATTCTTCAGTACCAGATTGCAAGCTGGATTATAATATGCGAAGCACAGAAGTGTATTGTCTTGCTTTTGTCACCCAGAGTTGATCATTCTGGAGAGTTCTAGATTTTAAAGCACGTGAAGCTGGGTTGCATTTTATAATAAGCCTTGCTCTTTGTCAAGAAAGAAAATGTTCCTTGAGGGTATGCTAGGAAGCCTGGGCATTTAAGCTGTGCTTTGTTTGTGAAAAGTGTGTGTAAACTATAGAGCCAGTTAAGGTAGAGTCTTAGTCAGCAGTAAGGGTGACCACTGAAGGAAGGCTCTGTTTTGTAAAGGCACAAGTGATACTAGAGAGAACCAGAGAACCCTCACCTTTCTCCCTCTTTTCTAGAATGTTGAAGGTATCCACCTTTCCTGGGAGCCTCCAACTTCCCCTTCTGGAAATATTCTGGAATATTCAGCCTACTTGGCCATCCGCACAGCACAGGTGCAAGATAATCCAAGCCAACTTGTGTTCATGAGGATCTACTGTGGTCTTAAAACCTCATGTATAGTGACTGCTGGGCAGCTGGCAAATGCGCATATTGATTACACATCCAGACCTGCCATTGTGTTCAGAATATCAGCAAAGAATGAAAAGGGCTATGGACCAGCCACACAAGTCCGATGGCTTCAAGGTAACAGTAAGAAAGCTCCTTTGAGTTGAGTTGTTTTTATTAAAGCTGTTGTGATAGTTATTTATTAGTAACTGGTTATGAACATCTGTTCTTTGAGAGTATTCTCTGACTGTATTTCTAGCAGTTATGAATTTGAGTTTGTAAGTTGTTCTTAAAATGTATTTGCTCACTTCTAGATCCAAATAAAGATAGAAAGAAGCAAAGACTGAAAATTAGTATATGGATTCTTCCTTACCCATATAGCTACTTAAAAAGAAAAGACTAGCAAAGCGAAGATAAAAGCCGTAAGGTGATTGCCCCCTTTCTTTTATGAAGGCTGTGTAACTCAGTCATCCTACAGCTACTGAGATGAGTTTAGTCATAGGCTGGTGTACACTCGCTGTAGTGGATGTTTCCCATGTTGTAAATGCCCTATCTGAGTACCCGCTGGCCTTATTCCCAGAGCAGTGGTCTTCTGTCAGCTCTCTCTCAGTGCAGAGGATCTGTGATGCCAAGTTTAGTAACTACCTTACTCCCTTATCTTCAGTTATCACAAGCTTAAACTATTAAAAGAGAAAGGAAAGTTCAGAAACTCTGCTTTTGATTTTAAAAATTATTTTCTGAGAATCCTAGCAAAATATAAATACAGGATAGTGGATAGTCTTGATTTGTATCTGACCAAGATACCTGAGTATATCTTTATCTAAAGCACTTAATCTATCTGGCCCTTAATCTCTTCACTAGCAAGTAAGGGAATTAAGGAGAGTTTTCCTTTAAAGTCCCTTTCAGCTCTAAACATTCCTATTTTCCTTGGGAGTTGGCTATATCCCTGAAGACTGTCCCATGTGTGTCAGCAGTCATAATGGCTTTAACTGCTTTCCCACCACTTCCTTAAAGATTAGAGAGCATATCCTCCTCTTGAAGAGAGAAAGAAGCACCTTAACAGGACCCAGGTTTTTACTCAGTGTTTTAAACATTTATAAGATCTTTGTAAATGCTCTAGATGTTTTATTTTTTAATTATTTTTACCTCAAAATTGTATAAGCTTTTTTATATCAGAAAAACATTAGATGGCCACTTCAGGCTCCTTGCCACCTTAGAGATGCAGAAAGCTCCAAGACCACTTGGCTACAGGTAACTTACTTTACACTGTTTGAAGTATCACAGTTTGGCTGCTTAGTCAGTTGGGAAGTGCAGACAGACTCCATACAGAGCAGTAACTGCAGAGAAGACATTTCAGGCCAGAGCTGCAGTAACTCCAAGAGCTTCTCTGGCTACACAATCTCATGCCAGTTTAGGGTGACTGAGTAGCTGTGCCCCCCAACTTTCTGTGTGATATGCCCAGTGAAGATGAATATAATTGTGAAGAATTGATATATATGCCAGTTACTAACTTAAAGTGTATAGAATATTTTAATATATAATTTTTTGTAAAGAACTGGGATTTTTATACTACAGTATTTGTAATTAATGTGTCTCACTAATTAAATTTCTCTTGAAGAAAATATGCAAACTATTAGACACATGAGTGGCTTCTGAACTCTAAAGATAAAATAAATGCACTACTATGGTGTTGTTAGGATACCTTTTTGGGGTACATGAATCCTTACTCATTAAAAGGGTACTTTCCAAGCAGTGTTTACAAGGAGGCCTCTGATTGGTTATTCCAGCAGCCCCCACGGGGAGAGCTTCACTCTGCCTTCATTTAATTTATGTGCTTTGCTTTGGCAGCGCTTGCTTTTTGCACTAGTAGACTTTGAACTTACCTCATTATTATGTTTGTAATCATTTGTGTAGCTTCCATGATGTGTTGGATAGAAGCTAAACATGTCTTAACCAAAGTTACATGGTATGCAGATTTGCACAGATCGAATAGTAAGCTTTGTTGTATGTGTGTGCTCAGCTAAAAAGAGTAGCCAGTTTTAAAAAGTGTATGTTTTAAAGCCCAGTTACTTTATTAGAAAAATTTTGGCTTCCAATCCTATTCTCTGCATTAATTAACAGTTTGCATCTTGAAAACATTTATCTTATTATTGAGAAATAAGTTGATGTAAGCAGACTAGAACGTTGGTTTTGTGTGTGCACAATTTTACCTATTTAGTATATGGTTTAGTTATTTTGCTTAAAGGCATCACCTTCTATTCTAGACCAGGAGGAAGATGTGAGCCCATGGTTCTAATACACAATTTGCTTCTTTGAAGAAAGGGTAGCCTCTCTATACTAAGCCATTTGTCAAAATAATAAACCTTTTTTACCTCGAGAATTGCCCAAATTGTATTTTTTTTCCATTGGCATTACTTCCTTAAGCATAAATCATGTGTCAGTTTCTGTTATGGGACTGGTGGCTGAAAGATACCCTTAGCAGATATGTGTGGCTTTGCTGTTAGCAGTTCATATGGTGCTAGAACTGCGTGTCCATGAAGTGAGTAGAGCCACCTGTCATGCCGACATGAGCACCGGTAGCTTCTAGTGACTGGCACATTGTGCAGCTGTGATCTTCATCACGCAGACCTTGTTTTCTTTTCTTCCTCCTCCTTTTTTTTTTGTATGTGTGCTGGAGATTGACCTTGGGGCCTGGGCAACTAGGCTAGTGTTCTAACACCAAGCTACACCACAGCCCAGGCAGATAACTCTTCTAAGAAGATTTCCCCTAAGTTAAGTTTCTCTCTTTTGTCTCCGAGCTGTACAGCTGTCTTTGTGTCACAAGCCTCTTTCATGTGTTCTGGACTTTGGTTCACATAAGAAGTAGAAATATTGTTGATACTGCATGCTCTTAGAATTATGTTTTTTTTAAAATACTATATTGGCCTTATTTTAGTTTAGCAAATTGTTTTGGCAGTTTAACTAGAAATAAGTTATATATAAACTCAATCTGTATTTAAAAACTAAAATAATCTGATTGCATGTCTGAGGCACCTTTGCCCCATAACCCAGTTACATGTATAATCATCTGTAGAGAAGTAAAACTGTCGCTCATTATTTCAAAGACTTGTAGACTAGCAAAAATTGCTTCTGCTTCGAGAGTGTCTGCTATAACTAAGGGGTTTTATTTAAAACGATAGCATATTAACATAAAGACCCTTTGTTACGTTCTGTCTGGAGTGATGAGTATTTGGGGCTCCTGTAGTCATCTGCTCCAGAAGGAGAGACTGTGGGTAGGCTTGGTCTTTGGCCATTTGAAGTCTAAGTGTTGTGCTTCCCAAGACTGATTTTAGGCAGTTCTATGTATTGTGTACCAATGATATGTAAAATAAAAGCACCTTTTTCTATAAACAGTTACAGGTGTAATTATTCCTTGACTCAGTGCAGTGTCGCAGAGCCTCTCTGGGATGCTGCTGTGTGTCCGTCACCTGAATACAATAGGTATCTCTAACGAGGATGGACTCTCAGAGACCGAGGTAGCTTGTGCCCAGGAGTCATTTTCTTTAGGATTTGATGCTCATTTACCCTTCCTGTACTACAGTGGTGCAAGGAAAACAGACAGCAGGCTCTGAGGAGCAGCCTGGGCCCATTTCACTGGTTGGTGTCCTGTGTTTCCTTTCTGGAGACTTTCCCTCATGCTTTTGGTTCACAGCACTGGACTCTGCCCTGCTACTTCCTTCCAATGCTTTAGCAAAAAATCAGGTCTAATGTTGCCGTCCCCAGATCTAGGGCTCTTTCCTCACACTTGATCTTCTCACTGGAGGGATGGCACAGCTGTCTGTTTTCACATACTTCCTCTTGTTTGTAATCCACATTTCCACTCCCAGTATTTTTACTAACTTGACCAGTCTGGTCACATCTTCCCTGACCTCCTGCGGCTTCAGGGAGATCTAACTGCTTTATTAAATAAGTCTACTTCTTCACAGTCGTCTCAGTGATGTCCTCTGATTTGTTACCATTGCCTCACTTCCCTCTCTGATGCTGAGTGTTTGAGCAGACTCTGGGTATTTGTATCTCTTCTATACTGGGCAGGCAGTGGTACTAACTATCTTAACAGGTAAAGAAAGAAATGTACCACCCTTGTATGTTTCCATTCCCTAGTCTCAAATCAGGATCCAAATTCGGTGGGTTTGAAGGAGAGTGGCCTTAGTGTATTTAATAAAATGAGGGAAACAGACTCTTTAGTTTTGTCTTGCCTCACTCTGCTCTGGTTCCTAACTAGGGAAATTGCCAGATAATAAGTTTAGGAGGGAGATGCTAGGACCTCTCAAAAGAGGAGGTCCTGATCTGAAGTTATTGTAGCATTTAATGAGACATTAACATCAATCTCTTGTGTTTGTTTGTTTGTTTCTGTTGCTGTCTTGTTTGTTTGTTTCGAGACAGGATGTTGCTAAACAGCCATGGGTGTCCTGGAGTTTACCATGTAGACTAGAGGATGGCCTCATCCATCCACCTGACTGCCTCCAAGGTGCTGGGACTAAAGGTGTGTACCACCACACAGGGCAGAAATCAGTCTCTGATGTCATTGCTAAGCTTACTAGGCAAGATACTGTTTTGTCTGGTTGAGACAAGGTCTTGCTCTGTAACTTAGGCTGACTTTAAACTCATGGTAATCCTCTTTTTGTGAGGTAAGCCTCACAAATACTGGGATTCCAGCTCAAGTCACACTTACTTTAGGATTCTTACTCTCGGGGAACTAAAGTGACCTTCCTCCCCTCAGTCTAGTGATAGTTAAAAGTCCCTGTACTTGTATATTTCTGTAACTACAGGGTTTTATGCTGAGCATGCGTGGAAAACCAAACTATAATGTTCCGGGAGACATTAAAAAACAGGTTCTGTGCCGGGCGGTGGTAGCACACGCCTTTAATCCCAGCACTTGGGAGGCAGAGGCAGGCGGATTTCTGAGTTCGAGACCAGCCTGTTCTACAGAGTGAGTTCCAGGACAGCCAGGGCTACACAGAGAAACCCTGTCTCGAAAAACAAAAAACAAACAAACAAACAAACAAAAAAACAGGTTCTGTAAGCTGAATGAAAGCTGTAAAATCTTGGGATAGTGAACCTTCATGTTCCAAATGGCTCTCTGTCTTCCTGTCAGTGTG